ATTTATTTATACAGCACATTTCCTAGACCAAGGTCAAACCAGACGCTTTACCGTGGCTGAGTGGATAGCACTCTCACTTCTCAGGAAGAAGGTCCTGGGTTCAAATCCCGGTGGAGTTTGCATGTTCTCTCTTTGTCTGTGTAGGTTTCCTCCTGTTTCCCCTATGTGCAAATAGGTCTGTAGTAGCACGTCATTCAAGATAACGGACGTTTATCCAATAAACAAAAATGCCCCGCCTTTTGAAATACATCTATTGAGAAAAACCCACATCCTTGCAGCTATAAGGATCTGGCGAGAGTCAGGTTAGTTTTAAATGTGCTCTACAAATAAAGATTGATTGAAAAGGCCATTCAAACGCAAAACCATCTTGTAACCTTAAAGCACAATTTGCCAGTTTTTAAGACAAAAGCAGCATGTCCCTTTGTTAAATTTTGTTTGTAGAGATGTTGTAATATTTGCTGCGTCATGAAAATGGTAGCTCACTGGGGAAAAAAACTGCTAAAACTGCCATTATATATTTTATTTATGTTGCAAGTTATGTCTGTGGAGAGTCTTCACAGTGTATAATAAACATTTTGCTAGTACAAAATCATCCATATTCAACCACGTTTAACCACTTCACAAAAGCCAGTAACCATCAGGACAGTTGATGAATGCACTTCTTAATAGTAGATCCAGTATAGTGGATCACATTTGCTTGGTCTGCCGTCATATATCATATTGGTGCTTGTGCCAAAACCACTGGACAATGTGAGAAGCTACACCATAAAGCCTTGTACTCTTGGTCACATATTACCTCCACTTATCTCCCCCAATGCCCCGCCGCATGCTCATGCTATTCACTGTGGACTGGGCACCCATTTGTTTTCCTGTTTCTATTACATCTGTGCAGCGATAGGCCAGCTGCCCACAGAGGTAATGACATAGGTTTTACACTTAGAAAATCATTTTCATATCCCACAGAAGCGAGTGGTAATGATAGCTTTTGATAACCGGCAATCAAAGCGCCATCAGCGGCGAGTGCTCTTGTGTGCAGGAGGGAGAGGACAGAGGTGAGGGAGAGGGGGGGGTTAAGAGGGAACAAGGAGGCCATGGACCGAGTGGAGGGCTGGGGTCGGGAGGTCCATGTTAGAGAAAGAGATATGAAGGCTTGAATTGTGTTGCTAGTACAAGGTGTGTGAGCCCTGAGCAAAATGATAGTGTTAATGGCAGGTCTGGGCCAATTTCAGCCACATACGGCCCAATTCATGTTTCTCTGTCTTGCTGTTCGATTTGCCTGTATATGAATAATGGGAGTCAATACTTCAATATACAGTGCCTTGCGAAAGTATTCGCCCCCCTTGAACCTTTCAACATTTTGCCATATTTCAGGCTTCAAACATAAAGATATAAAATTTTAATTTTTTGTCATGAATCAACAACAAGTGGGACACAATCGTGAAGTGGAATGAAATTTGTTGGATAATTTAAACTTTTTTAACAAATAAAAAACTGAAAAGTGGGGCGTGCAATATTATTCGGCCCCTTTACTTTCAGTGCAGCAAACTCACTCCAGAAGTTCAGTGAGGATCTTTGAATGATCCAATGTTGTCCTAAATGACTGATGATGATAAATAGAATGCACCTGTGTGTAATCAAGTCTCCGTATAAATGCACCTGCTCTTTGATAGTCTCAGGGTTCTGTTTAAAGCGCAGAGAGAACCATGAAGACAAAGGAACACACCAGGCAGGTCCGAGATACTGTTGTGGAGAAGTTTAAAGCCGGATTTGGATACAAAAAGATTTCCCAAGCTTTAAACATCTCAAGGAGCACTGTGCAAGCAATTATATTGAAATGGAAGGAGTATCAGACCACTGCAAATCTACCAAGACCCGGCCGTCCCTCCAAACTTTCATCTCAAACAAGGAGAAGACTGATCAGAGATGCAGACAAGAGTGATGAGCTGTGTTGCTTTTACGCCAAACATATCGTTTTGCATTGTGGCCAAAAAGTTCGATTTTGGTTTCATCTGACCAGAGCACCTTCTTCCACATGTTTGGTGTGTCTCCCAGGTGGCTTGTGGCAAACTTTAAACGAGACTTTTTATGGATATCTTTGAGAAATGGCTTTCTTCTTGCCACTCTTTCATAAAGGCCAGATTTGTGCAGTGCACGACTGATTGTTGTCCTACAGTATGGACAGACTCTCCCACCTCAGCTGTAGTTATCTGCAGTTCATCCACAGTGATCATGGGCCTCTTGGCTGCATCTCTGATCAGTCTTCTCCTTGTTTGAGATGAAAGTTTGGAGGGACGGCCGGGTCTTGGTAGATTTGCAGTGGTCTGATACTCCTTCCATTTCAATATAATTGCTTGCACAGTGCTCCTTGAGATGTTTAAAGCTTGGGAAATCTTTTTGTATCCAAATCCGGCTTTAAACTTCTCCACAACAGTATCTCGGACCTGCCTGGTGTGTTCCTTTGTCTTCATGGTTCTCTCTGCGCTTTAAACAGAAGCCTGAGACTATCAAAGAGCAGGTGCATTTATACGGAGACTTGTTTACACACACGTGCATTCTATTTATCATCATCAGTCATTTAGGACAACATTGGATCATTCAAAGATCCTCACTGAACTTCTGGAGTGAGTTTGCTGCACTGAAAGTAAAGGGGCCGAATAATATTGCACGCCCCACTTTTCAGTTTTTTATTTGTTAAAAAAGTTTAAATTATCCAATACATTTTGTTCCACTTCACGATTGTGTCCCACTTGTTGTTGATTCATGACAAAACATTTAAATTTTATATCTTTATGTTTGAAGACTGAAATGTGGCAAAATGTTGAAAGGTTCAAGGGGGCCGAATACTGTATACTGTAATACTGTAAGTTACACTTCTCACAATGGAGAAATTTACAAAACATTACATACTTTTGACCATATCACCATTATCATTTATGATAAGTATATTTCAAAATAAATACTAGTTCTACAAATGTTATAGTTAAATGTGCAAGTATTTGTAGCTGTATTGAACTCAATAACACACATAACTGCAAACATGTGTATGATGTCATGTTATCCATTAATCGGCTCATTAATTGAGCAATCATCCATCCATCCATTTTCTTCCCATAAATCCATTTCTGGGTCGGGGGGATGGCAGTCATAGCTGGATCCAGTACACAGAGCACTAGCCCCTTACTGATCCTCCTGCAGGTGGTGAGCCCACAGGAACTGAGATCTTTCAGCCGGGGCTTCAGGCAAAGTGGGGTCAAGTTTCTTTCCCAAGGACACAATGACAGCAGTCATCCGTGGGAGTCGTGAAGTAGGTCTAATGGTGGGCTTGAACCCACGACCTTCAGGCTCAAAGGCCAATGCTCTACCAACTGAGCCACTGTCGCCCAAGCAATCATATGAGTCCTTAATTAATGGATAACATGACATTGTACTGATGTTATCAGTTGTGACTCATTCACTGGTGCCCCGAATTAAAGCTATTATAAATTATTGTATTTACAACATGATTGTGAATGATCAAATTCTCGGATATCAAATAAATAACTTATGTGTGATATTTAATCATATTGTTTTAAAGGGGGCCTCATTTGTTTTTGCGTATGTGTGTGTTCATTTTGTTCTTCTAAATACACAGAAGATCAACTCAATGCTGTAAGACTGAATGAGGAAAAAAAGTCTCATATACTAGAAATCAAGCATTTGAATCAAAGCGTAAAAATATATGCTGGACAGACTCAGATGATACAAATGTTTCTTCTGGTTTATCTGGTTCATTCCCTGCAAGAGCGACGTCTCTATCTGTCCTTGAGCGCAGAGATAACTTGGCCGCACTCAGACATGTTTCCTCTGTACTCAAACTCTTCACATTGTATTCGGAGGCAGGTCAGAAAAGCCATTTGTCACGACGAGCAGAGAATAAACACTTCAATGCACTAAAGACGTACAGGACACAGCAAGACCTTGTGCTGTTACAGGCTTCAGATGTAAACCGCATGAATTGAGCTTCTCCCAGCCACCTCTGATTTTGAGTTTGGGTCCTCAGGTATGTTTCTGGACTATTAAGCACAACTATATATAAGCTATACCAGCAACATTTTATCAAATGTTATCAAATTAATGAATGTGTTTAACTTTTAAAGTACAATTTTGGGTAACCCTACCTTTGGAATGTGGAAATCTTTATTGGGCCATGGTAGCTACCCTTTAGCTTTAGGTTGGGCCTCTGAAGTCTTTTCACCAAGACGGGTTAATGTTTATATGTCAACAAAGGATGGTTTAGTTTGAAGCATTGTTTGTTACATTGAATGCGTTTGTCATTTTATCTTTCAATAAAGCCAACTCTGTGGGAGCAGTGAAGAAAAGTTAGTAGTGACTGGGAAGGTCGACTAGAAGACTCTAATTTCTCCATCCAAATCCTCCATCCCAGTCATTGCTCCTTGCCTCCAGTAGAACTAATCTCTGTCCAAGTGTGATTTTTCTTTCGTCCATCTTACTGATTACACACATCTGACCTATTCCTTCATCAATCTAGTCAATAATATCCAATATCCAACATATCCATACCAAACAGCTCCATCAGAAAATTACATTAAAAGTGTTTTAATACTTTTCTTTACCTCATCTTCCTTCTTATTTGAGTCAATGTGTCCAAGTCACTGTCCTCATTCTGGCATATAAAAAGTTTGACATTGTAAAAGCGTTTGAATGCAGAGGGAAAGGCCATACTCTATATATCATAACAAAAGGCAATACAACCATTTGAGGCGTAAATCATTGTGGACACGTGAGAGCCGGGTCCAAATGCCAAGGCTTTCGCTGCCATAAAGAGCAACAGGTTAACCCAGGCCTTGTGTGAGGGCTTGTAATTGATGACTGTCTGTACATAGCCCCTCTGTCTCCAGCATCACCTTCTGCGGCCATTACAAAGCCAGAGACAAATGCCCACACGCACAGACAACCGGCCCTACACCTCGGAGGCGTGGATAATCACAAGGATTTATTGAATGCTGCTGCCCTCTCCTCACTCTATCAAGTCCTTCTTTATGGGCGCGCTGATGGATGGGGCTGCCAGGCGGAAGGGAGGTGCGGAGGAGGAGGGGAGGTGCGGAGGAGGAGGGGAGGTGCAGAGGTGCAGGGGGCCCACGCCAAAAGCAAGATTCCAATTGGAAGTGGACTCGGGACGGGCTGCCACCTTGGCTGATGATCCCCCCGAAGCGGTGGGCCTGGAGATGAATGCGCCGTGGCCTGAAGTCCGACCAGAATCAGATACAAGTTTGGTGAAATGAAGAAAGGCAAGGTGGTAAAGTCTCATGAGGTGTATTTGTAGATATAAGATGAATGAAAAGATCCAACAAATTTTGAGTTTTGATAGGGAGTAGATTTTATTTGATGGACTATCACAATCAGGTTTAGGTTTGGCACAGTTAAAACTGGTATCTTTCCAACATGCCCTGTGAGTCACTATCTGAGACTTTTGGCTGACTGATTAAGGGTGGTTCTCTCTGATCTAAAGATGCGACAAAGGCTAAACAACACATGCAAAGGTAAAACTACTATTGGTAGAATCAAACTGTTTAGAGAGTGAGAAACAAGTTCGGTGGATTTGCTTAAGTGGTTCTATTTTTTGTGGTTTGAAAGTTAGGTACCCCAGCTTTAATTTGGTTTTAGGGTTAGGAAAGAATTATGTGCGTCAAAACACAATTACAAGGCTTGAATGTAAAGAAAACTTGAGGAACCTACAACCTAAAAGTGTAGGTCCAGGTTAGTTATTCATAAATTAAAGAATTATCAGAAAGTAGATCCACTGCCATCAGGAATTATAAACAATAATAATTATGAATAACAACACTTTGAATGGGACAATGCGCCTCTAAATGTGCCATATTATATAAGGAAGCTGTACTCATAGTTTGCAACTATACATTGCAGTAGTCAAGGGCAATCCACAAGAAATATGCATTGACAAATACAAAAGACAACATCAAAAATAGAAACTTCAAGGAGTGTTTCACTTAACATGTTTTATCACTTCCTCTTTTCAACCATTCATCATAAACAGTTGACTTGTGTATCATAAGTATTACCCTTGCAAAAGCCAATTAATTCATTTGGAAAACAGAGTGGATGCGGCCACATTTTCAGCAGCCATTAGCTTAGGCTGGGGTAAGGATCAAGTATTAGCATATCTATGACAAATGGAAAGAGTCACTAAAACAGAGAGAACATATAAATTCCAGAAGAAAAAAACAACGTATGGTATTATACACACAACTTGCGTTACTCATATTTCCCTGTAATATCAAGTCAAAAATCCAAAGGAAAGACTGCACACAAACTGTTATTTTTGAGAAGGATATTTCCCAAAACATCTCTATCTCTGTGACACTGCAATAAAAGCTATCATAAGTCTGCCAGACCACTAGGTGCTGATAAACAATATGCCAGCAGGAGCTATCACATAGATGTTGCCTTTGTACACTAAAATAGAACTGGTGCGAGGCGATTTCTGCAAAAAGAAATTAGCTGTCCGCTTGTTGACAGGGCAATAGAGCAGCGATACGTGGATAAGAAATAGAAATATTGAAATGCGGCTTTGTGATGTCTAATGATGTGAAACCAAGTGGGACATGTAATTTCAACCCAGACACAAGCAAAAAGGCTTCAGGACATGGCAAGTCAATGTGTTTCCTGTAATGGCCATCTTTCTGAGAATACAATGCTGTTATGAATTGATTTTTGCTTTGAGAATTTGCATGTGTTGGAATGATGGTTGGTGTGACCATTTCTGCACCAACATTGTTTTGCTACTATACTGTGATTCCAGTTAAAGATGCAAGGTGCACTCTTAGTGGTCTACTACATCGTTAGAATAACAATCACATGTTGCGTTGCCAGAATCTCCACATAATTTTCCCAAGTACCACCATTTTCACTTCTCTAGTTTTGGGTTGGAACTTTTCAAATCAGTTCAAATAAAACACATCCGACGAAATGTGCAGACTGGGCTTGTAAGATACAGCTCAAACTGCTGAACGACAAAGCTTTCTAACAGCACAAAAAACATTTATTTTCGGCCCCATTTCCGTGATCCTTTCAACAACCCTTGTTTGCAGCTGCATTTGCCATTATTCGTTAATTTGGCACACATCCTGAAAACTAAGATTGACAATCGCCGTGTCTCTTCCCACGTCCAGCTTTAAAAGAAGGCTATTAAAGGCGCAGGTCAGCTCCACTGACCGGACAGAAACAAATGGACATAGGGTTGATGGACAGAGCGGTGCAGAGGAGGGCGGATGTGGTTAAATCAATCTTTCATTTGGTTTGAGCGCGGGGGAAAGCGGTGATTGGGGTCAGGGGGACAGGCCGATGCACCCCTCCCGGTTAAGCTTGTGTCCATGAACCAACCTGGGTTTACTTGACACTCGACTTCATTGTTCCCGACAATAAAACTGTTTGGAGCAATGCAAAATAAGGACAATTAAATGTCAACTACTGTCAAGGTGTTGTTTTATAAGAAATTAATTAAGGAACTAGCTTCAACAAAAATCTTGACAAATTACACTAAAGTAAAGTATCTAGTTTCAAGAAACATTTTAATTTTAATTATTAAAGTAATTTCTTAACTTAATTTTAGATGTATGGCTTTTTTCTTAATTCTATACAAATACACTTCCAGTGAATTCTATTTTTTCAAGAAAATTTCCCTTTTTTAGCAGTCTAGTAGATCGCAGGAAAGTCTTGCGACCCATTCCAAATTATCCAGTGACCCACTTTTGGGTACAGACCCACCAGTTGAGAAACATTGCTCTGAACTGGAGGTACGGAAAAAGTTATAGGTTTGAGTGCTGCTGCAGCCGTCCATACACTGTAAACTACAGCTGCAGAGGACACCGCGCTGAGGGGTAGGAGCAGGACTTAGGGATACAGGATACTGTTGCCCCTGTCTACAGTATTTCATATCTGTCAAAACCATGTATGACAAGATAATAATAAAATAAGCACACTCCTTGAGGTAAGCATGGATGTTCAAGGTATTTGTGGGCAGTGCAAATGTGTGTAACAGATCGGATCCGCTGCTAATGCCTGGAATGTTGAACACGTTTGTAAAGGAGTATTATAAATATTATTATAATAATATTTATAATACTCCTTTACAAACCAATCAGCAACCGATTCTCAGCGTGCCATTTTTTTCTTTTTTTTCTTCAAATGTATAGCCAAAAGTGAAAAGTAGAAGCACCACGCTCTTTCAATCCAAGACAGCCTTGATACCTGTGTTTACGGTTCACAAACAAGACCAACACAACACCCAATTCACCAAAATGGTCTCTTCTGCACGCCATTGGAGGGGGAGGTTATTGTCGATCCTTCAACTTCACCGATGGGCAAATGGACCTTGCAACGTTGTCATTTATGGGATAAAAAGGAGCAGTCATATCAGGGTGTTACCGTGGGTATAAATCAAAGCTGGTGTCTGACTTTGTGAAATGGCTGCACGTTTCCAGAGACCCTTAGTTAGGAGATATACGGGGCCCAGATCAAGCCATCTACAATGGGTGAATGTGAAGATAAATTGCCAGCCCTGTGTCCTTTGGTTGAGGGGCAGACAGGCTTAAAGTTATACAACCTGACTGAATGTAGACGGGAAGAGGACATTTATAATTCAGCAAAAGGATGGGGAAAATCTGTGACAAAAATTACAGCAGATAGCCGATGAATAATTAAACACACGGAATAGAAACATTTAAGACCTTGAGAAAGATTTCAGTTAAATTTAAGGGAAATGAGTCTTGCATCGGCCAAAAGCCTTTTATAAGCGTAAGGTGTACAGGTTATATATGTAATAAAATTGAAACGGCAAAGAAAACAAGCGGTGAATGAGCTGACCTTGGGAACTTCTACCAATGGACAGGCAAACGTAAAACGTAAAAAAAAACAAAAACATTTCTGTCTATATCAACAGTCCAAAAGTTGTGACAAAAAATAACAATTTTAAAGCACAAAACAACAACTCTTTCAGAGCTACTTTGGACTTTCTGCTGTTTCCAGCGCATATGTGACATGTTTTTGTTTGAATATAACAACAACAAAAACATACACAGAATGTTGAATTTAAACTGGCAACCCAGTGAGAGACACATTCTGGTATGTCTTTGGATAATCTGCTTGAAAACCTTATATTGCGGATACAGTACATCCCTTAGTGATAGGAGCTTAGTCATATGGGAGGAGCTCTGAGTAGAGCCAATGCTTTCCCATACAGGGAAGAGCTAGATGAAGTGACATATCTGAATGGTATCAGTTTTGTGCATGTCCCACCAGGAGGAGAAGCCAGTGAAGACCTAGGACTAGTTGGACGGACAATGTCTCTCACCTGGCCTGGGAATGCCTCAGGATTCCCCCAGATGGAGGAAATGTATGCAGAGAGGGACGTCCGGGCAACTTTCTGCTGCCCCCTCGACGGGCGTCAAATAGAAGCAACAGAAAATAGATGGAAGGATAAATATTGTGTTGCAGCGCACATAAAAGACAGTAGTAAGAGCACAGAATATACAGAGATTAGTCCCTGTGAATGCTTCTTAATGGATCATGGTGGATCATTGGTGCTGATCAAGTCTGCAATACAATCAGGAAATTAATGAAATGAATGTTTTTACTTAAAATCAATTTATCAAACTTAATGAAAGCCACACACAAAGCAAAACATAACATAAACATAAGTATTTTTCCTTCCCTGCTCTGAGCTTGTTTGTGTCCAGTGAATAGCAATGAGAAAATAATAATGAAATGGATTTAAATGCCGCATCTGGCTCACTTTCTATGTCCCCTCTCCTTTCTTACAGCCGTTTGTTTGAATAAGTGTCCTTGAGAGCAACACAATTTGCCATCAGCCGGGCCAATCACAGCCACACAATCGCCCATTCTGCCGGTCTGTGCGTGCGATAAAAAGACTTGTATTGTGGTCCTCCGCTAACCTTCCTCCACAGCACAAACTCAATCCTCCCTGTTTTCCCCCGCGGACAAAAACATACAAATTGAATGGAGACTTTTTCAAAACGTAGAGCATCCATTTGCTTCTCGAGCCAATATATAAATCGTAAATGTCACTTGAATGCTAGCAAGCTATTGTTGTTAACAAACTGTGGGACTGTTATCTGCCATCATGAGGTGAAGTGGGTTTCTGTTCAACAATAGTATTCATTGGACAAAACATTCTCCTTCATCAATTAGGTTGATTGGCTCAAGGTTCAATTTTCAGCAAACAAAGGTGTGTCTGTGGTAAAAG